TTATAAATGATATAATACACAATAAAAGATATTTTTCCGGTTCCTATGTCCTCTCCAATCAATTTTTTTATTTTTATTTTTTAGAGTGGTGAGTGGTGAGTGGTGAGTGGTGAGTTGTGAGTTGTGATTTGGAAATCAAGTTCTTTTTTTCTTCTTTCTTTTTTTTTTAAAGAGTGCCCAATGGTGGGAAGGAGAAAGTGACGTCGTTTTTCAAGCCATAAAAGCTAGGTCTTCTTTCTTAGTGAATCTGCTTTCTCTGTTCTGCCTTCCTGTGAGTTGTTTTTCAAGCAAAACGATCAAGCAGGTAAAGTTCACTTCTTTGCTTTGGCTTTCCCCTTCTGCTTCTCAGTGCCTGCTTTCTTTGCTTTGCCTTTGGTCGCTTCACTATTGTTCTTCATTTTTTTTTTTTTCATAAAGATAACATAGATCAGTTTGAGAATTTATTGAAGTATTTGCATCTTATGTTGTTTGTTCGACTGTATTTTCAAATGGGTATTTTTGGATTCCTATTTCCCGCGTGAAAGTTCGGTGCTTTCGTTTCGAGATGGGGGGTGTGATTAGATGGCAATTCTACTAAGAAATATCGATTCTGTTTAAAGATTAAAATTGAAATGCTTTTATATCTGTTTGACATAGCTTATACAAGCTGTTGTTAATGTCTTTTGTAATTTTCGGTTTAAAGTTTGTGGGTGCTTCTAGTCGTCTTTCTGCCAATTTTCTAGTTGGAGAAGCTAATTTGAGTACATGTTAATGGCAGAAGAGAGTGAAAAGTAAAGTTATATTTGAAGTAGCATGTACTTTTTCTGATTGTGAAATGTTTGGAGTTAGTTTGGAAGGAACTTCTTTTCCTTTGTGGGAGCTGTTTTTGTTTATGGGCTATACTGATATCTACAGGAGTCGTCTATATTGGAGAAGAGGGAGGTAGTTATCTGATCACATCACTTGTTTCAGTACTTGGGAAGGGAAAGCAAAATAGATACGAGGAATGAAATATCTTTGGCCTTAGGAGTAGCTGAAATGGAATTTGTTTATCATTATATATTCAATCAGGAGATAAAGCAGACGTTAGTAAACTCTTATTAGGGCATATGGTTAAAGAAAAAAAATCATATCCTGTGAATATATATTTTGCCGCCAATGGGTCAGGAAGGCAGGAAAGTTTTGTTGGATTAAAACTCATAGTCCAGAAAATGGCTACATTAGTGACACACAGGTAACACAGCTGTTGTTCCCCTCTCCATCTGTATTCTATCATTCAAAAGTTTATTTTACTTCTCTGTTGCTTACAACAATTTAAAGCTGCAAGTTTTAGCAGGTGTAGACATGCGGAAGAGCCTGTGGTATATTGATGTTTGCATGTGCCCAAAAAGTCATAACTTGGAAGTTTGATTTTAGCCAATTGATCATAACTCTTTTCCTTGATTGACAATTGATATGGATCTTGGAACCAAGTGTAGTCCTCTAATTTTGTTGTTGAAAATTTGAACAGCTTTGTTGCTGAGAGTATTTTTGTTTTCCTTCATTTAGGTTCTTCCAGTCTATTTTCAAAATAATCAGTTAGTGCTAGTTTTACCTCATATAATTCACTGACTGTTACATTTTCTGTTCAATCAATTGACTCAATTATTCAATTTAGCTCAAGAAATTCTTTATTCCACAAAAACATAGGAGCGGTTCTTCTGTTGAATCATAATTTTGATATATGAGGAAAGGCAGTAGAGCCTTAGTTTCAATTGGCAAAGTTAGTTCTTTGCTACATAGCATGATGCAATAGAAGGTGATCTTAGGAAAGTTCTTGTGCTAGTCATTGCAGGTTGGGGTTTAGGCCTTCAAGGTTGAACTTGGTTCCCTTATATTGAGGAAGGGCCATTTTAGTCTTTTATCATATGTCGGGATTGATCTCTAGTTAACTCTTGCCTTCCTAATTTGCAACCATGTAAGTGGTCTTGAAACTATGTGACCTTTCATTGAGGACACTGATATATAACATTTTATATTATTCTTCTCTCTATGATATTGGACATAAAATGTGATTACTATCTTTTAGTTGTACAAAGGCAGTCCATATAGTGGAAACTCAAAAGTTTAATGTATTGTGAAAGCTCTAGCGCTGCATTCCTATTTCTGCATCTTGAAGTTCTGCACCCAATTTCATGAACCGTAATCCAATTCTGGATTTTTTTGCCCTTGTTGTATTTTGGTGCCTTTCTTGAGTTTGTTATAAAAGTTATTTCAAGAACTCAGTTTGTTTCTTTATTTATTTGTTCATGTGTTGAAACTTCTTTTATTTATTCCAATAAAATTATCATTCAGGGGAATGTGTTTTGGCTTAATATTATAAACTTAAAATATAAATTTTACCACATCATCAACTTTATATCCAACTAAATTTATTGAGAACTGCCTTACGGTTCCAAAGGGTGCAGTTAAATCAGGAAAATGTGTTGTGCGCCATATTTGTGTACTCTAATCTTTTTTTTTTGATCTTTGTGTACCCTAATCTTTAAAAGTATAAAATTGCAATTTTTTTTT